ATAATAAGGGGACTTTACGGATGTAATTTAAGATTTTACGGGAGATTATTCTGAATTATCTGGTTGAGTCCTAAATGTTGTCACAAGCTTTATAAAGTGGCATGTGCGATGAGGTTTATCCAGGGCGTAATAACTGCTAATTGAAAACTAATGTAGCCACAAGAGTCTTTACAAAGGGAAGACACACACACACAAAAAAAAAAACAACAACAAAAACAAAAAACAAAACAAAACAAAAAGGTCAACTAAAGCAGAGATTCAAGAGATGAGGTCAAGAGCCAAGGGATACTAAAAGCTGGAAGAAGAAAGGAACAGATTCTCCCCAGAGACTCCAGAGGACTGGATCTTGCTGACAAACACCCTTCAAGACTCACTTTGGATACTGAGTTGCCAAAACTCTACAAGAGTAACAGTGTGTTGTTTTAAGCTGGAATGGGTCCTAACTTGGCACAGCAGCAATGAAAACTGACACAAAGTTTCACAGTTTCTCTTACCCATCTTGAACATTTCCTCTAGGAGTTCTAGCCCATTACCTAAATGCTGCAGCCATTCTGAAATGCCACTCACGTGACTGAGGAAACCTGTCTCTGCCTGAGTCACCAGTTCTTATTGGCCCAGCCCCCTGTGAGGAAACCCTTTTTGGACCCTCTGGTTAGCCACTCCTGCCCTCTTGCTGAGTCCAGTTGGGGTCATCCCTCCTGTATTTCTCTTTTATTATTACCTCAACTAAGGCACTGAAAAGTCTTTATTCCTGTGTCTTAATTGGCATAGGAAGTGCTTTTCTTCTCTTGGAGCGAAAGCTGAGACCATTCTAATCTATCCCAGAGGCTAGGATGTTGGCGCAACTGCTTCTTTCTCATATGATTCTGAAGAACAGACTCTGGAGAATTGGGAGAGAGTTTTTAAGGGCACAAGACCTCTAGGAGAACAATCTCCATGACAAAACTTGATCATGGATAAGGGCTCTAGAAGTCTAGCCTAAGATCTGCCAGACTTTCACTGTGTCAAAGGCCCTGTAGGTTACTTGCCAGCACTTCAAACAGAGGCTTGGCCTACCTTAAATAAACAATCACAAAAGGGGGAGGAGGGAAGACATACAGTTTAGAATTATGTAAGTAATATGGAGTGGAGTACGTAAGTAGTAAAAATAAACTTTAAAAGTACACAATTACTGTTTACACAAAGAAACAAAAATTGTAAGCTAATGAGTCTCCTATTGTCAGAAAAACTGCACTGTTCGCCTTGAAATATTTTTTTTTCTTTTCAGAGTAAAACATGAACACAGTCCCTCCCTATCACAAAATACACCGTCAAGTTTGTCCCATTTGGGGAAGCTGCAGGGGTCAGCACACCCTAGGAAAACCTCCTACTTGATTATGGTATCCCCTCAGCCAGTTAAGTGCCACCTTGGTATATCTTATTTGCCATATGAAAAAAAAATTTTTTTTAAGTTTTGAATACATTTAACAATAATATTCACTAAGAAGCTTTTTTCAAATCTCGTCTCTTATGATATCTCTCCCAAAGCCAGCTCTTGTCTTACATAACTCCACAGTAACTGCTCATTAAACCTCAGTAAGTATGGCAATCAGCATCCAGCATGACCTCATTGGCTCCCAATATTGTGATGCAATATTCACATCCTGTAGAGAACCTTCCTACAAGGTACCACAGCACACAAGCGCTGTGACTCCTAAGACTGCACTATAAAAGACTGGCTTCCAGACATCCTTCCTTGCCTCCTCTACCACCCCACCTCTCCAGAAATTCTACCTTGAAAGCTACCGACCCTGTAGAAAGGTCCATGTAACAAAGAACTGACATTGCCAGCCAATAGCCAGGTGAATGAGACCTGCTGGGAGGGAATGCCCCAGCCAAGATCTCAAAAAGCCAAAAGCTTGATTTCCATATCATGAAAGACTAAGAAAAAGAAAAACCCAAGTCAGTGGCTCCAGGAATCCAGAACTGTGAAGGAAACTGTGAGAGGCTTGCTCTGTGTTTCTGCATAATTTGTTCTCCAGTATCAGGTAACAACTAATACAGTGACTATTACCTTGGCTCAAAAGCAAAAAAAAAAAAAAATGTAAACAGGAATGTTATAAACAAAAATGACTAAGAAGAAAGACTGCTTTAAAAATCTTGGCTAAAGCTAAAAAGCAACTGTAACAACTTCAGCCTGTCCTCAGTCCTACCAAAGAGCCCTCAGCGGACTGCAGCTGGCTTCTGGAAAAGAGAGCCAGGTGTGCAGGTCAGAGTGCGACATAAACTTCTTCAAATTGGGAAAGAAATCGGTTTGTAATTTTAAAACCGATACAACCCAACTCACTAAGATAAGCAATCCCGCAAAGTCGCCCTCACGGCTGTGAACTAATTCTGGAGCGCTGCTATCTTCTCACAAATCCTGCCACAGGCCTGCTGAGAGACACGCGAGAAAGATAAGGACCAAGCGCCACACTTCAGCACATCTCACGACCCATCTCAAAGAACGATGATTTTTTTTTCTTCTGTAATGTTTCATCAAAGTCAGAACACTTCCTTAGATGAACTAAGCACCCTCCCAAGGGCACACAGGCTTTCTATAGTAAGAAACAGCCCTTTCAAGTGACTGGATGTCATTAGAAAGTGCGGCTAGTACTCATATATTTAGTACATTAGTACATTAGATAGCATTCTAAAAGATCATGAAGACGGGTGAGATGGCTCAGTAGGCGCTTGCTGCCAGGCCGAAGGGCAGGGTGTGTTCTCATTGGGAGAAAAGACGGGATGACTCCCACTACATTGTCCTCTGGCCTCCAAAAGCACGCAGAGAGGCACACTCACATACAAAAATAAGAGATTAAAATATAATTAAAAATTAACAAGAAACACTGAAAAAGCAAAGAAAAATACGAGAGGTTTTCATTGTGGGGGCAGGGGGAGCTACATCGAGTTCAGCAACAGCATACATGAGCTGCACGCATTCCTAATGCAGTAAGACCCCTCATGATTGATCATAAGTAACTTACTAAGTAGGTCCAGCTGTCCTCATAACTACATGTACTGGTGATGGAAACTGTAAGTGAGCACCGAGGCAGACTAAAAATTAATGCAGCAGCACCTCTAAGTGTCACTTAACTCAAAAGGCAATGATTTAGTCAGGAGCATCAACAAAAATAGCTGGGCGAACGCCAAAGTCCTCTGGCCTATAAACAGGAGCATTCCTCCCCACATCCTTTCCTAGATATTCACCCTTGTCTCCCGAACAAACACGTTTGCATTACCAATGGCATCCTCAAATCATTAAATCAGTAAGCTTTATTGATGCTAATGCCCTCCATGGACTTGAGTGTCTAGGTTCTTCCAAGGATATCTAAAACCATCTTAGATTTAGAAGTACTACCTTCGTTAGAAAATGTGGCACTCCTACCTGATACACTGCCAGCATGTGCAAAAATAGTAACACATGAGATAAAACTGAGCAGGTCAGGTATTGTGGAACACGCTTTTCAATAACGGCTATAAAATTACAGTCACAGGGTCCTCTCTCATAACGTAACATGTTGACAATGTAGAATTTCCAAGATCTTGCTTTAGAAAAGGGAAACTGAATGTTTACATAGTCTTGCCTGAGTGACAAAATTTAACCTTCTAAGACATGACTATCTATATTACTTTTCAAAGAACACGTTTTTAAGCCACACATAGAGAACACACATAGACTAAAAATATGCTAGTATTCAGTATGACTTCCTGTAATACTGTGATTCACCAACTGAATTGATTGGGATGCTGCATTTTCCTGTAAAAAGCATTGTGGGTAAGCAATGCTTGAAATTATCCAGTACTTTATATTGGTTCACAATCCCCTAAACTGAGAAAAAAAATTAAAGTGGTTAAAGGGTATAACTAATAAAAAGTTTCTTAAGTAATAAAGGTAAGGCATGCTAATATGAGGTAAAACTCACTTTCCCTCTCAGGCACAGGCCAATGACAAACTTTCAAGAGGCCTGAAAGACACATTTCAAATGCATGCGCTCCACACTTCAGAACCTATGGAATGTTTATACATTATACAGTGCCAACTTCAACTAAAAACTTTCCAACACATTAGAGCGTGATATAAAACAGTAGCTGAGTGTTCTGTGTATACAACAGAATTTATGTAGCAAAAATATATTTTAAGACTTAATCCATTTTTGTCTTTGCATCCTTTCAAGTCTTTTTCTGAACTTTTGGCCTTTTCACCTACACTCAAATTCTGACCTACCACATTCTGCGCTCGTCTTAAAAATATCCTATCTTAACGTGTCTGTTTAAAAATAGCTTTTCCTTCATCCTTTCCCAATTATTTTTAAGTAGACGCGTGCTCTTCATTGTCAAGCCACAGATTCCCTAACTTCAGCCACCCCAGAACTCACTCCCTTCATGCTTTCAAACTCCAAGGAAACAAACGCTGGAGTTCAATTCGAATCTCCAGGCTTCCAGGACACACGCAGTGGCTGGCTCGACACATTCTTTCCATTTCGCGAGATTTCCTTGGGCCGTTCTACAACCAGATGCAACAATGCACAGCATAGAGCATCCCTGCCTCGAGAAGTTACACCCCTTTTGCGGGGGGGACATCCACGCACCTTCAAGAAAGTTTTTTCTTGCCTGCCCAGTTCGTAGCACTTTCTTAGAGCAGGCAGGGCATGCCACCTGCACGGGTGCATGTTTCAGGAAGACACCAAAGGCACAGGGAATGGAGGGCTGGAGAGAGGAGGCACACGGGACAAACCAAAACACAATCCCAAGAGTCAGCTAGCATTTCAGGCTGAAGCTCCTGAATTCCATGGCCAGGGAGGCCCCAGCCAGGCTTGGCCCCAACTGCCTGGCACGACCCGTGCGTGTCCTACCTGCCTCGGGGACACTTAGGAGGTGGAAAGTTTCCCCTTTCGGTCGGTCCCAGGCGCGGGGCCAGCGGGTGGGGAGGCGACAGGGGTCCAAGAACGAGGTCTTCCCAGGCGGCCCCACCCGCTTACCTTGGGCGATGGCAATGGACTCGAAGCGGTGCAGCTCTTTGAGCAAGCAGCTCCTCTCGGTGGAGTGCAGACTGTAGATGAAGTCGCGCGCGCCTTGCGCAGTGTTCAGCGCCTCCATGGGCTCCTTCTTGGGGTGGGTGCCCAGGAGCCGGGGACCGCCGGGGACCCCGAGCGCCAGCAATCCCCTGCCGCAGCCGCACCACCGCCGAATTGGTGCGGCTGCGGCCGGG